CCTCTCCACTGTCGCTACAAGCATGCTTAGTGTGAGGGATTGCTGAAGAGTTAATGAGTCGATGCAATCAACTGGTTTTCCTTAGATAGAAAACTTTTAATTAATTTGACTGGATGATCTGGTGACCTGTAAAGTGCCTTGAGATGAATTAGCGCTATAGAAATAAACTGAATTGAATTGAATTACTGCCCTAAGTCAGTCGCTCTGTCAGCTAAAGGCATGTTTTAGAGTCTCTATATTCCAGTTAATGATAAATCTTAACTAAATTTAATGATTGTTTCAATAATCTATTAATCCCATTAACTGTTTCAGCCCTAAATGAAATGAAATAATTGACCTTTATATATCTGAAGTCATTTATCGATCAATCTGTCCAACTTTTCCATGTTACACCCATTCATCCACCTTCCTGCCTGTCCTGCGTTGTACGTTACATCTGTATGAGCTAAATTAATAGTGAACCGTTAGATGTAGAAATTAAAAAATAAACAAAAAATAGACAATTTTAGATTTTGATGTCAAACACTTAGCATTCTAAAAGTGGACTGTAATTCTGAATAAAAAGGCAGAGTAGAAAATATAAAAAAGATATCTAACTTTATACCATCTGCAAAAATGACTTATTTAGAAAATGTAACAACTTGGTCTAAAGTTAAATTTTTCATATCCATAATTCATCCAACCATTACAATTCAAACCATTTAATTGGTTTTAATTGGTCCTTTTCTCATTCCTTCCTCCCATAGCAAATCAATTATTTACTTAATCATACAGTGATTTTTTTTTTTTTAACAGACCACTTTAATGATCCGAATGTTTGATAATTTCTGTGATGTTTTGTTTTTTTAGGATGACCTGCTGAAGGTGATTGAGTGTAATGTCCGAGTTTCCCGCTCCTTCCCCTTTGTGTCAAAAACGCTTGGAGTGGATCTTGTTGCCCTGGCAACCCAAGTCATCATGGGAGTTGAAGTAGAGCCAGTGGGTCTAATGCGTGGAAAAGGGATCGTGGGGGTTAAGGTAAATGACTTTAATTCAAACCAAATGTCTTTTAGCACTTTTCCACATGTTAGAACAATAAGCATCTATCATCCGTTCTCCAGGTTCCCCAGTTCTCCTTCTCTCGGCTCGCTGGGGCTGACGTGGTGCTCGGGGTGGAGATGACCAGCACGGGGGAAGTTGCCTGCTTTGGGGAGAACAGATATGAGGCTTACCTCAAAGCGATGCTTTCCACAGGCTTCAAGATCCCCAAGAAGAACATCCTTCTGTCCATCGGCAGCTATAAGGTACGGCAGAGATGGCACAGTCAAAGCAAGCAAAGCTCTGATTTAAATGGCGGCTGGTGGGGATT